ACGGAATGGTAGAGGAGGCGGATGCAAATGCAGATTTTGTTTATTACAAATGAAAACACACGAAACATAAAGACCAGGAAACAAAACGAGGAGTGGCGAAGCGAGGTAATAACACGAACATGACAGGAATTAGGCGGCGAAAGACCCTAAGTGCTGTACGAGCTGTGACGTAAATACTAGCGCTCGTTAAACAGAAACGTGACTCAGGTGCAAACAGTCATGTGACCTGAGTGTGCCATGGTCATGTGATTTGCAGTGGCTGATGGAAGTCATATGCTGCGTCTCAACGCGCCTACTATCCATCCTAAATAGTATCCGAGATCGGAATTAGTGTGTCCCAAATCGTAGTATGTTGAAATGAGTATCCCAAAAGTACCCGGATGGTCTAGTGTGTGGATCCGTGGACACTTTTTTCAGCTAATATTACCCACAGCTCCTTGCGCGAGGGAGGAGGAGTTTTATGACGGTTCACATTTTAGAGAGGTGTAAATGAAATGTGGAAAAATAAATCAAGGGAATGATAAATGAAATTATATAGTATAAATTATATAAGGAAAATTGAACGAGGAAAAGCTGAAATGCAGCGAGGAGTGTGTTTAGGGTGACAGTGTGCGTAACTAGGCAACAACGCTCTCTTCCGTTCCATGGCATGTTGGTAGGTCCCAGTACTTGCATACTCTTTTGCTACACACTCAGAAGTATGTACTTTTTCTTCCCAAAAAGAGCATATACTTTTAGTGCAAAGTATAAGTAGGCAAATTGAGACGCAGCAACAGTCCTGCGTCGTACTCGGCGCAACCATTGGCATTAGTGAGTCAGATGTACAAAAGACAACAATGCCAATTTAATATTCTGTGTTATCATTATGTATACAGTGTAACATATTTTGAAAGAAAGACTCGTGTGTGCTTACTGAGCAGGGATCAGAACGGTAATAAAAAGAGTGTGTATGGCTTTAAGAGCCGGCGCCCTCACAGCCCCTCAGAGCGGCCAGTCCCATGTTTTGTATGCTTGGAAAACTAATTGACTAGGCTAAAATAAAGTTAGTTAATGTAATGTAATAACACATAGGCAAATTAGTTAGCTACTAGGGCTAACACTTGCATCCTCTGAGACAGATATGTGCAATGCAATGCTATAACATCGAGCTGAGGCAGTCGCAGTAAAAAAAGCTAACTATATATATATATATATATATATATATATATATATATATATATATATATATGTGTGTGTGTGTGTGTGTGTGTGTATGTATGTATGTATGTATATTGTTATCCATAAGGTGAAAAGCAACGTGACGTGTAATCAAGCCGTGGTGTAATCTGTACTTTTTGTTTAGACGCTTACGTACAGGTTAATATTTGGCCATTAAAATATCAAGACAATACCATAAACTGTGCTAAAATGTTAGCCAAGGTTACCAAAAGAAATTTGAAAGAAGTGTTTTACTCCGGTGCTTTTCAACATAATACTGTATCTATAGTGTATCGGTTTCTGTGTACTGAGGAAAAAAAGTAAAAAAAATAAAAAAATAAAAAATAAATACTGTTTACAGGAAACACTTACAATAACATCTGAGGGCAGTTCTGACAAAAATATGCAAAACGTATTTTCACAGAATGCTTTCATGGATTCTTCAGTCAAAATATTTGTAAATGAAGCTCCAAATCGGTGTGTTTTGCACAGTTTTGCTAAAACATTCTCACGTCTGTGTCATCCTGTCACGTTGTGTAACGGCCGTCGCTTTAATACAATCGCCTGGTGTCGGAATTCAACACCTGCCCTTAGGCTTATACTGGGAGTGAGTTTTGAGTAAACAGGCTTTTCGCTCTTTTCTCGATACATTTGCGAAAACCTGTCCACGTTCGTCTTGTCCATCATGTGAACACGAGCGGTGGATAGACTTTAGGCTGAAAAACGCTGCGTTATTTCGCTACTAAAGGCACATGCAGAAGTCAGGTTGTTTTTCTACACGCAGCACAGGCGAGTAGAGAGAAAGCTGAGTCACACAGAGAAACCAGCAATCACACACCTGACTCATACAGGGCATCTGGGACTACATCCGCTCTCAGCACACACACAGACACACACAGAGACACACAGGCACAGGGGTAATACAAAGGTAATGCTAATGGAAAAATTAGCGAGTACTCTTTTAACACACTCTCACACATACACACCCCTAATAAAGCGGTCATGGCAACACACAGCACCTGTTCAAGTCTCTTAAGAAAACGAAAACACACACACACAAATACACACACACACACACACACACACACACTCTACTCTGTCTCTTACACTTGACCACCTGTTACACTTTGGAATGAGAAACACAACACCTCTCACCTATCTGACTAAACACACACACACACACACACACACACACACACAAGTACTAATACTGTTTCGGTAAAAGTCAGTAATTCATTCTGTCTAGTTTTTAATGGAATAAGGAACTGCAAGATGGAAGGGTATTTACTTCCATGATGTTCTCACACAAATTCCCCTAAACACACACACACACACACACACACACACACACACACACACACACACACATTTGTATTAAACCTTACACACTACACAATTTTAGCCCTACACAATTTCCTGGTTGTGAGTAATTTTGAGCCTCAGTGACTACACCCCCACCACAAAACATAAAACTAACTTTAACCTCAGTAACCAAAAGGAAACCTTTTGGCGCTTTTAGCTTTCTTTTCTTTCTTTTTTTTTTTTTTTAAATAAAAACTGCAGTAAAAGCCACACTCACACACACACACACACACACACACAAACACCTGAGGTCCCATTGCTAAAAAGAACATCCTAAAAGGCGAAGAGAAAAAAAAATTTTACCACAAAAAAAAAAAAACAGATGAGGTGGCTTGATTCCAACAACATAAATGATCAAATGTATGGATTTTGCAACAACCAGCTTTGCAGTCTGTATGCTTTATACTTAACTGCTACAGGATTAGCATACGTACTTATGCAGTTAAACATTTCTGTCTACATTTTTGTAGACATTTGTAGATTTGAACATTAGCACAGCATTAAAAATCGGCTTTTACCAAACAAACCAAGCAACGTTTCTGCTCATAGACATTTACATCATAGACTAATTGTACGGATGTGAAAAATACACACTGAAATTCAAAACTTTATTCATGTATCGAAATCAAAACGCCACACTCTAGGTTTACAGTCACAAGCTTTAAAGCGAAAGGCGCGTGTTCATACAGGAAAAAACGGTATTTTCTCAGGTTTATGCAAAATTAGTGAGGACACAGTAAAACAGCTGGCTCAGACAAACTCCTCCCACCATTCCTATAGTGTGAGCTGAAATCGCTACTTTAGATCCTGCCTGAGTTTAATTCTCAATTAACAGCGACGGCTGAAAAACTGAACTTAACGAAACTGAATGAAGCTGAAAAACTGAATTTAACGAAACTGAATGAAGCTGAAAAACTGAATTTAACGAAACTGAATGAAGCTGAAAAACTGAATTTACTTCGACTGATGCCTACAAAAAATACATTTAACATCGCTTTTACGATTTTAAAGATAATTTAAAATGAGCTCGGGTGCTTCTAGTTTGTAACCATAAAAAAAAAGACATTAAAAGACATCACGATATATGTGATATCTCAGAAATAATCTATCACAATATTGATATTATATCATCATATTGCCCAGTCGCTAACACTCACAAGAAACGAGCCTGGAGTGACTTGAGTGACGGTGGGAATGAAAACGTCTTGCGATAGAGACTGGCCGTCGAGAGTTTAATCTAAGAACAGTTATTAATAAGAGAGTAGTTTATTAATTATTGTTCTTGCGACTCACCACACTCACCTGGCACGCTGTACCAAACGAAAAGCACTGAGGTTTATAGAAACCGATACGGTGCTCAACCCTCGCACCTATAGGATTTAGACGAAGCTGGTTTGAGCAAACCTTTCTGAATCAATGCGGCAGACACGTGCACGGTACGAGTAAATGACTGAAAGTGTGTGTATTGTTCTGGGAAATGTTTATGCTGCTTCTTTATGCCGGGCGCTACATTCTCTCCGCGCATCAACACACTCTGTGCTCAGCCAGCCGAGCGTACAGCAAAGCTTTAGTACATGCGTCGACCTGATCTCTATCAGCTCTAATCTAAACAAGAACTGTGTTCCAGACTCATTATACGTCCCTAGCACACACACACACACACACTCACTCACTCACACACTCGTACACACATGCACCATATGCTTTATGAGTACGTTAGTGCATACTTGTAGCTCCTCTTCAGTGCCCGGTAAGCATTTTAGATCAACTCGGTGTATAGATTAATCTACATCAAGCCTAGTATTTGAAATTGTGTGTGTGTGGTCTGAAGGCAGGAATTTACTTCCTTCCTGTCTGCCTTTCTCTCTCTTTCCCTCACTCCGTGTGTGTGTGTGTGTGTGTGTGTGAAGACACCTGTGTGTCACACTTTGCTGTTAAACTGACTCACTTTGAACTGAGAGATCCAAGTGAGCTGATGCAAAGTACATTCCTCAGATTCTGCTGAATTGCACACACACACACACACACACACACACACACACACACGCACACACACGCACACACACGCAGACAGACATACACACACAGCTTTTACACAAAATACCCCAGGGATACTGCGTAAGCGTTCTCAACAGTTTCTACTTCTTCAAAGGTTTCAAGGCTGCCTGTCAATCTGGCAACCCGACTACTCTTTATCTAAACTTCTACAGCAACTAATCAACAATGGGATTAAGTGTAAACACAGGTAACTTCCCAAAACGTTTTACACGTCAACAATTAACCGAATGGCCTGGAAATGATTTACAGGACTCCTGTGTGAACAGAAGCTGCTACATTAATGGAAAAGGGGCTCACGTCTCAGTAAATGAAGAAGAAAAAGTATTAAGAAATGAACGATCTGTTCGTTCACACATGGAGCAAAAGTCTTTAACAGATGAGCTGCACAGCTCAGTGGGTAGAGCACGAGCCTCTTAATCTTGGGGTTGTGGGTTTGAGCCCCACGCTGGGCGCCAAACCCAGCCACTCTGAGAGCTAGTGCACTCTCAGTGCCGGTCCCAAGCCCGGATAAAATGGAAAGGGCATCTGGCGTAAAACCTGTTCCACATCAAATATGCGGATCACAAACCGGATTTCCATAACGGAGACGGAGGATCTGCTGCGGTGACCCCTAAAGAAGAACAACAAGTATGCCATCATACATCATGTACAACTAGAAGTGTCAAGTGTAAATATGTACATCCTGGTAAAATACTGTTAACAGATGTCGCATGCATCTGTAAGTGGTGTGACACAGAAAGGCTTTTATGCTATTGTATTCTATAGGTCCTAATACTCAGGATATTCGGTGAAAAAAAAATGACCTCCGACTAAATCAATAATCATTAAAATCTTGTGCCAGATATGATTCAGTATCATAACCTTCACAAGACTAATCAAGCCTTTCCGAGAGGTCAGTCGGGGATTGATTTCAAGGTCTGAAAGACACAAAGCCAGAACGTTACCAAAGTCAAAACCCCCAACTGACCTGTCAACACACCGGTGTGCTTCACAGGCCACGCCCACCCCGGCACACGCCCCCTTCACAAAAGCTAAGCCAAAACAGTTCCCAAAAGGGCCTGACTCACACATGTGTCATTTGTCTTCTGTGTGTGTGTGTGTGTGTGTGTGTGTGTGTGTGTGTGTGTGTGCGCCACAGGTGGAGTCTTCTACAAGCAGCAACATGCTTGTAATCTGTAAGTGAATAGGATGACTCTCTCTCTCTCTCGCTCTCTCTACTTCTTTGCTACTTGTGTGTTCATGTGTGGATGTGTGTGTGTGTGTGTGTCCACATTCCTTCTACTGTTAAGGTAATTAGTTTGAAATCAGACCCTGGCTCATTCTGTTCACACTGTCGACAGGACACTCATGCTGATTTTCCTCAAGACGATGCAGTACTGTCACTAATCCGAATGAAGATCTATCTGTACACTGACAAACAACCTGCCTCCGCTTTCTACCTGACAATGGACCATGTTAAAGGAGCAGGATTTTATTTATTTATTTATTTATTTTGGATCTTTATCTTTTCAGATAAAGAGAGCATTTCTCACGTGACAGTGCTGTTAGCACAATGGAGGAGCTTAAGTGGAATTTTCACAGACATCCAGACAACTGACATCCTGTTTGGTGATAGTGTGCAATCTGAGACATAGCTCTAGGGATTTTTCAAAATGGCGGGTCAGGTGACACCTCATGACTTTTTTGTGATGACTGAATTTCACCAATCACTGGTCTTCAGTCTCTAGCTCCACTCAAGTGCATTTAGTAAAAACTATTTAAATAACAGTTAAATCAGCAAGGCATTACGAATGTGCATTGACAAATACTGTCTTACTGTACCTTTTGTGTCTGGGCTTCGTTAAGAAGATTCGTTTTCATTTATCATGATACCTGATCGCCTGCTCTGACTCATACTGCCTCATCCAGACCACTGGAAGTCAGACACACGGCGCACCGTTCATACTAACGAACAGCTCCGAGGCTGAAAAGAGGTTCCTGTGGCAGAATGAAATGAAATTACAGTGCACGAGTAACGGCGTTGCCTGCATCTCCGAAACAAATGGAGCTTATATGTGAGTCAGCGCGCAATGTTCACCTAGAAGAGCCGCTTTGTTTGTGAATGACATCTCACTGGCACCCTGGGAAGAAGCAACTTTAGGTTGCTTGGATTGGAAACGGTGAGAAAATGCGGATTCGTGGATTTGTTACCACGGCGTCAGGTGGAAAAAATGCTAAAGCGTCCAAAGAGACACAGAAACCAAAGTGCTGAAAACACATCTCGGAAACGTCATCCAAGCAAAAGTTCCAACCTGACAATCCCCATCTCTCTCTCTCTCTCTCTCTCTCTCTCACACACACACACACAATGATAAGATACTCTCTCTGAGACCTTCTACATGGATCCAAAAATATCACCGAGCGTATCTAGAAAACAGATCACAGCAGTTGTGTGTTTCCTAGAGATGGCCAACAACACCATCAGTGCTGAAAGGTAATACTGCTAACACTACTGAATAAAAGATCCCCGTTAACATTTTAACCTTTTACGCCGATACACCTTCATATTCATATTCATATTCATATTCATATCCCTACCCTGTACATTTATCCAAAGCCAAGCATACTGATAATGTGCTCTGGCGCATGCACGGTGGAGTTAAACAGCTCTACTTTCTCGAGGTGTTTTGGAAAAACAACTTGCTCCACATGCAGCACGCAGAAGCTGGAAATGATCTAAAATTCGACACCCACATTACTGGCGAATTCTTGACTGAAGTTGCTGATTAATTCTCCGTAGCAGCACAGCTCTGAAGTTTCTGTTCATTTGCTTGTTCTAGGTGATCGTTTCTATAGTACAAGAACTCGCATGGCCGTTTATTCCACTTAAACAAGTAAAAAAAAAACACAGAGTTGTTTATATGATGACATTTTCTGAGGAGATGTTTCTTTAGCATTTTTTGGAAGGAGTCTCCAGTGTCAGTGCTTTGTAACAGTTTTCCAACATGAGGAAGTCGTCACGTTCTCTGTAACATGATAAGCTGCATTTGTTTGTCTTATTTAACTTTGAGAAAGGAAAAAGAGAGACTGAGAAGAAGCAAAAGAGAGGGAGTGATTGTTTATAGCTGCTATAACGTTACAATAACAGGAGCTAACTCGTGTCGTGAAACAGTTATAAAGGAATAAAAAGTATGCCGTGGCGCTCTTTAGTTAATAAAAATTGTAATTGTTGGCAAATTGTTGTGGTAGAAGAAAAATAAAACACTCCAGGGCGTGCTCTTATTGGAAAATCGTCAACTTCGTACCGCATCACATCACCCCGTCGCTGATTCTTTTCCTATAACGGCATGCTCTGTCGCGTTTTATTCCTTACGTAAGTAACTGTTAACAGTTATTAAGGGCTTGGCCAAAGACAAATGCAGCAGGTCTCTTTGCTCTTACAGGAGTTTTGTAACTGAGAGACTATAAATGTTACTCAGACAGAAGAAAAAAAAAAAAGTACTTTCCCATTCCATTCTATAGCATGACAAGTTCGAATTTCTCTCTAATTCCGTAGGAAACTTGACCTCTGGGGCTTACGTACGAGCCCCTCACCAAACGAGTGCACTTCAATTCACATCAGTGTCATGAGAGACAGAGAGAGAGAGAGAGAGAGAGAGAGAGAGGAATAACAATTTAACTGTAAAACACATTACATTTTAGATTTCATTCGTTTGATCATCTGAACTGAAAACCCACATGAACACACGCACACTCTCTCATGTAACTGACGAGAAGCAACACAATCCCCTGCTGCGTTTTTTTTTTTCTTCCCCTCCTCTTGTCTGTGATCATACCAGGGAAAAACGAGAGGAAGCACACCTGTTGTTAACATTAACCGTGCATCTGTTCCATCCTTTGACCTTTGCATAGGGAATCAATTTACCTGGAAAGATCGCTCATGAGAAGGAAAGGAAAGAGAGGGGTGTGCATAGGAGAATGAGAGACGGAGGACTTATAGTGAGCTTTAAAGAGCAGTGTAGCGGTCCCTCCTGCCGAGCTGCTCCCTACAGACACCATACGTACTGCTCATGTGCTTTTACTCACGAGGCGGGAACGGCTGATATTGCAGCGTTACAAAACTGAGGAACTGTTTGCTAAAGATAGTGTCAGATTGCTGTTAAATTCGCTGTTGAAGTATATATGAGTATGTTATTTAAACATATGTAGCTAGGCAGCTAATAGCAAAGAAAACGATTAATTATTAAGATATTAAATATCTCGAAATAGCTAGGGTGACAGAAAGGTGTCAGTGGTGTGAGCGGTTGTGCTCTTAAGCTTCAGCCCTCTCTGGTAGAGCAATGCGACTGCAAGCTATTCGTGCAAGAATGTTTCGTAACATGGGTAGTGCTGAGTACCGAATCAATAAACATTCAAAGAGATTTCAATTCGGTGTCATATACAAACAGCATTCCGTATATACAATGCTGAGTGTATCATTTTAACAAAAACACATGGAGACATACCAAACGCAACTATGTTTTTCCATTAGACAGCTTTCGATAACACAATTTAACAACTGGGCAACGATACAAACTACACAAACGGGATGAATCAGTTCATTCTCATCTATCGTTCACTAACTTGACCACCAAATTAGAGAACAAAAATGCCTTAAATGGTCAGGGGAAAAAAAGCTAAAACAGCATGAGTCATTTTTACCCTGGCTCAATGATTTTTTTTTGAAAAATTATTTTAACAAAAAAAAAAAAAAAAATCCTACACGCCGTAGCTTTAAATAAGCTGACTTCACACCGAGACGCTATCACTGCCGGAGCTAAACATTACCTCCAGAACCTAGATAGCCAGAGCACCAGCATAGTTTGGATGGGGTTCTTAAGGGTCCTTTTGTAAGGATGGAGCATCAGGGGGAGCATCAGGGTCATCACACTGGTTAAAGTGTGACCGAGTAACAATGTGTGTGTGTGTGTGTGAGAGAGAGAGAGAGAGAGAGAGAGAGTTGCTTTGTCTTTCCTAATTTTATCCACTGTAAGCGGTTGAACTGAACAGCACAGGAGACGCTAAAGTGCAATGGATCATGTAGTTGCGGGGGAAAAAAAAAGTTCTTCTCTTCAAATGAGGCCATTTGTCTTTGTAACTATGATGGCATGGCCTTGTGCAGGGGTTGAACGAGAGACAGCGAGTAAAAAAAAAAGAAAAGAGAGAGAGAGAGCTGATTTAGCTCCAGCTCTGAATCTGCCAAAGTGTTTAGTGACTCCTGGCTGCAGGATTACGACCGTCTTGTGCGCTGTTCGCTTTTAATTCCAGCGTTTTTTTTTTTTCTCGGCCTTGTCGGCCCCCAGAATAACATGAGAGTAAGTGGAAAAAAAACAGCAGGAACAAGAAACCAAGAAATCAACAAATCAGACAGAAACCACAGCAGTGTGGCGTGAACGTACAGTAGAACCACGGTAATATATGTGGGAATGAAGAA